CACACATTGCTGGTGGGAATATAAAATGGCACAGCCACTCTAGAAAAGTTTGGAAGTTCCTTTAAAAAACTAAACATGCGGGGCGCCTGGGTGGCTCAGTCGTTAAGCGTCTGCCTTCAGCTCAGGTCATGATCCCAGGGTCCTGGGATCGAGCCCCACATCGGGCTCCCTGCTCCGCGGGAGGCCTGCTTCTCCCTCTCCCACTCCCCCTGCTTGTGTTCCCTCTCTCGCTGTGTCTCTCTCTGTCAAATAAATAAATAAAATCTTTAAAAAAAAAAAAAAAACTAAACATGCAGGGGATGCCTAGGTGGCTCAGCTGGTTAAGTGTCTGACTTCAGCTCAGGTCATCATCTCAGGGTCCTGGGATCAAGCCCAACAGGCTCCCCCCAACCCACCCCGTTCCATGGGGAGTCTGCTTCTCCCTTTCTCTCTCCCTCTGCCCCTCCTCCTGCTCATACATGCGCTCTCTCTCTCTCAAATGAATAAATAAAATCTTAAAAAAAACACTAAAACTAAACATGTAGGGCACCTGGTTGGCTCAGTTTAAAAAAAAAACAACAAAAAAAAACCAAGCCACAAACATACTGATACATGCAACAACATGGATAAATCTCCAGATAATTAATCAGGCTGAGTGAAAAAAAGTTAATTCCCAAAGCTTACACACTGTATGATTCTATTTGTATATACTTCTTGAAATGAAAAAATTAAGAAATGGTGACTGAATTTAGTGATTGCCAGGGATCCAGGACTAAGGGGAGGCAGTGGATGGCAAGCAGGTGTGGTCATAAAAGGGCTCTAAGAGCGCTCTTTGAGGTGATGGAACTGTGTATCTTGACTGTGGTGGTGGTCACGTGAGTCTACGCATGTGATAAAATTGCACAGAACTAAACACCTATGTATAAAGGAGTATTTGTAAAGCTGGTGACATCTGAACGTTTGAAGAACTGTATCAATGCCAATTGCCTGGCTGTAATATCGTACTATGGTTTTGCAGGAAGCAACTACTGGGAGAAAATGGGTAGAAGCTATCCAGGGTATTTATTCTCTCTTCAATGGCATGTGAATCTACAATTATCTCAAAATAAAAGGCTTAAATGCTTTCTACTCACGCTTGCAGTTAGTTTGTATTTACTGAAAGAGATTTTTGTAAAAATTTATTTGGACATTTAAAGATCTATACACTATTTTTATTAAAACTAAAGTAAATAAAATCAAGGTGGTAGATAGACAAATGGCCACAAACATACTGATACATATCACTCCTATGTTTCTAGACATGACCGTTCACAATGTGATTTTGTCATTCTTCCCATAAATGGAGTCTGTTTCTCAGACCCTCGAATTCAGGGTTGGCCAAGTGACCTGCTTTGGTCAATGGGATATTACTCAGAATAGTGCAAACAAAGGCTTGAAAAGTACTTACACATCAATCCTTGCTCTTCCTTGCTGTTAGGAACTCTACTACAGTCATGTGAAGAAGCCCAAGCTAGTGTGTGAGACGATGAGTGACATATAACCCAGTTATCTCCATCTCCCCTGACAAGAGCCAGCACCCACAACCAGACATGTGAGACAAGCCACTCTAGAGGGAACCACCCTCAGCTAAGCTGCCAAAACCAACCGGAAAACCCATAAATTCAGGAACAGTTATAACTTAGTTGTTGTCTTAACTAAGTTTTGGGGGTAGCATGTTATGCATCAAAAACTGATACATTTCAAAATTTATTGCACTTACACTTTTTTGGTGGCATATATATGGCTAAAGAATATTCAAGAGCCAAGACTCTGTTAACTGGGTAGTGGTAAAAACATGATTAAATTTAAAGTCAAAGTCAAAGCTAAAATAAAACTTTTATCAATCCAATATATAATAACTACTGCAAAATCTAAGTGGGAATAATGCCACTTAACTGCTCTTACAAATCTCTATGCTGGCAAAGCAAAACAGAAGGGACAAACCAGTTCTTAAAAAAAAAAAAAAAACTGGAAAAAAGCTACTTCAAATTGGAAAATAATTTATATGTTTTATGTGTTAAAACAAAAAACTAATTTTTTATATAAATGAAAAACATAACACTGGAAAGTAAAGTTGTCAACACAGGACACGTCATTTTGTCATTTTCAGTATTACGTTCAGAAACTGGCATGGCTCACCCCTAAAAATAAAACACCTTTCCCCAAAAGCATCAAAGTAAATCTTCATGAAGCTATTAGTAGAGAGAGCATGACATTTTATTAATCTTAAAATTTAAAAATAAGAAATATAGAAGGATATTATTGAACTGTAAAGGTTCCAAATTCTAATGCCAGTCTCTTAAAAGTATTCTGAAGTTCCTAAGTGTATATTGAGGAGAGTGATCAAAGTGAGAAAGTTTCCACAGTTCCTTTCCTGTTTTTCATTCAGATAACAATTGCCTCAAGGAGCTGGAAATGAGATACCTCCCTTTCCCACCCTGAAGCATCAATAATACGTACAGTGTATATGGAAACTTGTCACATTTATCTCCCTAACGTGACCAAAAGACATGGTTTTTTTCCCTTTCGTAAAAATTAAACTTTCTCAAAACCCAGGTCAAATTTAAGATAAATTTCTTTGGAGTTTGGACATTCAAAATTTTGATGAACTGAAGTGTTTTATTGTTGATGACAATGTACACTAACCCTTACTTTTTGGTTACCCTATTTGGTGGTTCCTAGAAAATACATATCCTCACTAATAGTTTAAGATTTCAGATCCTTGCAGCATAGTAAAACCCCCTCATATATATTTTTGTTGTAGGAAGTAGGAACAGGGATGATGACGGCTGATGATGCTTTACTTGTATAACCTCACTTGTTTTTCAGAAGAATCCCATAAAATAAGTCCTATATTCATCCCCATCATTTCATAGACAGGGGAAGTGAGGCTTAGTGAGATTAAGCATATAACTCATTCAAAACTTGAACCCCTAACCACTATTTCTCCTAAATAAAGTCACATGTTGGGGCACCTGGGTGGTTCAGTCGGTTAAGTGTCTGCCTTCGGCTCAGGTCATAATCCCGGAGTTCCAGGATCAAGCCCAGCATCAGGCTCCCTGCTCAGCGGGGAGTCTGCTTCTCCCTCTGCCCCTCACCCCGCTCATGCTCTCTCTCTCAAATAAATAAATAAAATCTTAAAAAAAAAAGTCACATGTTATTCTACCTCAATATCGGGTTTTAGAGCCATGTTTTTAACTATGAGGACTTAGAACACTCAAGTTTCATCAAATAAGGAAATCTTTCCTTAATATTCTGTATTACACTGTATTCTGTTAACTTTTTCTCCTTTTAAAATTCTGTGTTCATACAGAGGGAAATGAACTAACATTTATTTACATGTATTATATGCCAAGAACTGTGCTGAGCAACTCACATAACTTTGTCTTAGTTCTTACATTCTTCCAATGAGGTATCTTTAATTTTATAGATGAGGAAACTCATCTGGTTTTTTAACCTCTAGAGGTTAGTTTCCTCAAAGGCAAATGGCTAATCACCAAGAGAGCTGGATCTGTACTCTGGTTTGCACAACTGAAAAGTCCTTTGGCTTTTTTCCCACCTTTCTCTGATACCTACCAGAGTATGGAAAGCATAATACTTTGAGAAATGTACATGTTATGTAACAGATAAAACACAACAACACAGCATCCTTTATTACTGCATATACTGTACAAAACCACAAAATATTCAGATTTTATTAAAGGAATTATCAGTCTCTAAAGTTTTCCTATACAAAGTAATACTATATGAACATATAAGACAAAATATTTCTGATATTTAAGCTTCCATTCCACCTATTAATCCAAAAAATGAAAGATTATAAAAAAATAAAATGTTATAGTGACATCATAATATTACAAAGGTTAAAATGTGGACTATATTTTCCTAAGACTTACTGAGGTGTTTACAATTCCTAGCAAACTGTACCATAAAAGTAAATGAATCTCTTCTAATTGAAAATACACCTAAAATGTTTAGCTAATGATAACATTAAAAAAAGCATAAAAATAAATAGCATAGTAATACTGTTTTCCTTTTGAGTGAGGAAGAAGTAACATCTCCAGAATAATCTTCAGGAAAGTAGATAATAGCATCTAATAGTTCGAAGAACCTAGGTATGCAGCCGGAGGTCCAAAAAATTTTGAAGCCTTCTAATGTTTTTGCTTTGAATAGCTTTCAACTCCAAGAACCTTTCATCTCATTAATGCAATAGTTTTATGAGTAAAAGATAACCAGCATATAACTTTCAGAGTTGTAATGTTCTCCAAAATTGAAATATAATCTCATACCCAGGATTTAATATATGAGAAGATTTTCCAGGTAATCTGCTTAGCAATTAGTAACTATCATCATTTGCAGTCAACACTTTCATGTCACGTAGAAATTCATGATGCATTTCTGCCATATAACTTTACTTCCTTTTTAAATTTTTATTATTTTTAAGTAGACTCCATGCTCAGCGCAGAGCCCAACACAGGCCTGAACTCATGACTATGAGGTCAAGACCTGAGCTGAGATCAAGAGTTGGACACTTAGGGTTGCCTGAGTGGCTCAGTCGGTTAAGCGTCTGCCTTTGGCTCAGGTCATGATCTCAGGGTCCTGGGATCGAGCCCCACGGCAGGCTCCCTGTTCAGCGGGGAATCTGCTTCTCTCTCTCCCTCTGCCCCTCCCCTCCCACTCATGTTCTCTCTTAAATAAATAAGTAAAATCTTAAAAAAAAAAAAAAAGAGTTGGACACTTAACCAACAGAGCCCCCCAGGTGCCCCTAATTTTACTTCATTTTCCTTATCAAAAACCCAGAATTAAATGAAATCCTAACTTTTTTCAAAAAAAAAAAAACACCGTCAAATTTCTTTTCAGACACCACCAAGATATTTATACCAAGTTTTGAAATTCATGTAAATATCTAGACTCTATGACTGAACACCCGCCAGATTTAATCTCCATATTGAATTTTATAAACCTCTGAAATTAAGACTTACCTGCTTCATTGTTAATTGGAAACTGCCACAGTTTCCCCTCTTTCGTCCACTGGATCATCTCTGCAAAGCCATTCTGAAGGGGCTGCTCATTTACTGTGGCTAACTGCTTAGCAAATTCTACTTCCCAAAGTGAAGGTGCTGTCTCTATGATAAAAACATTTCAAGTAATCACAAGTCAATGTATATATCTTTATTTTAAAAAATTTTATCATCAACTCCAACTTGTTAATACATTTCAGGCCCTGAGGCTTATAAATAAACAGTATATAATGAAAGGTCACTCTCTGAGAGCTAAAACTAAAGGAAGACGACATAAAAAGCCTACCACAACAATTACCGCAAGCCTTAGCTTTTGTTTTACTACACTACTAGGCAAGCAACAAGTCTCACTGCCCCCTCTACTGGAAAGGAAAAAGGAATGTGTATTTTGTTTAAAAACGTTTTCATGAATGTGAATATTTATTTTATTGTTTTCTTTAAGATTTTATTTATTTGAGAGAGAACACAAGAGAGAGCATGAGGGGGGAGAGAGGGGGAGGGGGAGAGGGAGAAAGAGAGCGTGCGCGTGCGCACAAGTGGGGGGAGGGACAGAGGGAGAAGCTGACGCCCCCCTGAGCAGGGAGCCCATCGTGGGGCTTGATCCCAGGACTCCAAGACCACAACCCGAGCAGAAGGCAGATGTTCAACCAGCTGAGCCACCCAGGCACTCCGTGATTATTTTCCTTAAAGATTTATTTGAGAGACAGAGAGAGAGAGCGCTCACACAAGCAAAGAAAGGGGGGAGGGAGAGAATCTTAGCAGACTCCCCCCTGAGCACAGAGCCCGCCAACACAGGGCTAGATCTCATGACCCTGAGAACATGACCTGAGCCAAAATCAAGAGTCAGACACTTAACCGACTGAGCCACCAAGGTGCCCCATGAAAGTGAATATTTTTTATATAACAGGTTACTTTGATATTTAAAGTCCAGCCTATTTATCTTTATTTTTAGTCTGTGAAGATAAGTCACAAAGTACTATTATTAAAGACCAGAGAAATTAACATAATAATAATGACAATTCTACTAATGGATAAGGAGCACTTACTCTGTGCTAATGTTTTTTATGCATTAGTTAATTTCATCCTCACAACCAACTCTATAAGTTCATATTATAATGTTAGCTTATAACCACCATCATATCGCATTTCAATCATTTATTTGCTTCAGAAATTGAAGACATCTTTCAAGAATGAATCATATTTCGGGGCACCTGGGTGGCTCAGTCGTTAGGCATCTGCCTTCGGCTCAGGTCATGATCCCTGGGTCCTGGGATCAAGCCCCGCATCGGGCTCCCTGCTTGGCCGGGAGCCTGCTTCTCCCTCTCCCACTCCCCCTGCTTGTGTTCCCTCTCTCGCTGTGTCTCTCTCTGTCAAATAAAAAAAAACTTTAAAAAAAAAAAAAAAAGAATGAATCATATTTCCACCAGTCACTGCTGGTGGGAATGTAAAATGGTACAACCTCTTTCAAAAATAGTTTGGCAGTATACAACAATTTGACTCCCAGATATTTACCCAAAACAAAAAATATGTGCACACAGACATGTATGTTAAAGTTCATGTACGACCCTGCCTGACCACACACTGACTGACTGCTGTATATTAAGTATATTGGCCTAAAACATCTGATACAGAGAAAAGATCACATCAGTTAGGCTTAATTAGCCATATTTGCAGATAATCATGACAGCAAAATAATTAGTCACATTTTATAGATTTATTCAGTAGACACTGATCAACACATGTCTTTTCTGTGATCATGATCATCACCACCATCATTGTTATTATTACTGCTAATAGCTGCAACTATGTCCTGACTGTCCACTGTGGTCTTGGCACTGTGCCTGACACTTGAATTACATTACTTCATTTAATCCCTGAGAGGCATGTATTAGCCCCATTTTATAGATGGAGAAAGGGAAACTCAGAGAAGTTAGTATGGGAGAATCTGAATTTGAATAATCCACATCTATCAAATACCAACATTCCTTCCAGTAAGCTATATTGCCCCTCAGCTCTAAATTACTGCAGGATAAGCAGAAGGGTCCTTTGCAGCAGTGGTAGGAACCTGGAGGGAAGCAAAATGTGTGAATCATGGGACAGAAGAACTCATCATTCTGTCAACAAATAATTACTGAATGCCAACTATATGTCAGGCATTATTTTAGGGGGTAGGGAAACAACAGTGAATAAATGCTTAAGTTTGTACATGGTTGGTATTGATTTAATAGGGAACAAAAGACATTCTTTAGACTCAATCAAGTATAATTTATTAAAACAGTACCTTCATTAAATTTTTTTTAAAGATTTTACTTATTTTTTCTTATTTATGAGAGAGAGAGAGAGAGCAGGGGGAGGAACAGAGGGAGAGGGACAAGCAGACTTCCTGCAACGTGGGATGCATCAGGCTCCATCCCACAACCTTGAGATCATGACCTGAGCTGAAACCAAGAGTGGGATGCTTAACCAACTGAGCCACCCAGGTGGTGGGTAAATTTTTATAAATCTGTGTATTATTTTCCTTATTAGAGCACAATCATTTTATATTTTTTATAAAACTTCAGTGCTTCAGTTTTAAGGAATAGGGTTTCTGATTTAAAAGAGCAAGCTGGCTCCTTCAAGAATCCAAGTGCCTCTCCTGGCTGTTCAGTAGGTGGACAATGGCAGCTGCCCTGACAATAAATGCCCTTTTTGAGGCAAGTTTAACAGTTGCCACATCAACAGGGGAGAGGTGACCCATTCTCCATGACTGCACGTTTTAGTTTGTTTTTTTCAAGTAGCTGTTAGAATCATCTGTGTGTGTGTGCGCGTGCGCACGCATTTTGTAATTCCTTTTTTTTTTTTTTAAGGTAATCTTGACAACCAACGTGGGGCTTGAACCCATGACCCCGAGGATCCAAAGTTACATGCTCTGAGGACTGAGCCAGCCAGGTGCCCCTTGTACTTCCTGTCCATTATACAGGACAGAAAGCAGTTTTTAAGTAAGAGAAGGCGAGCTGTTCTCTTAGCTTCACCTTTAGTTTAAATGAACAAACACTGATTGAATTAACTCCTTTCCTCTATGGACAGATATTTCATAGCTCAATTTGTTCAAAAAAAGCATTTATGATTTAAGATAACTAATTCCTATGATCCGTCAGCCACTGGCTAGGTGCTGCTGGGTATACAAAAATCAGTGAAACCCAGGCCCTAGTATCTAGGAGTTTACTGAATAGTGGGAAAAATCAGATATTTATATAAGTAACTGATAGATTAAATGAGCCATTGGAGGCTGGCTTCGGAACTTAAATATCAATTATAAAATTATTTTTATCAAGTCCAAAAAGCTAACTTAACAATCTTTGGAAATGAAAGTCACTTGTAAGCTGAAGACCATTCGTACTGAGTTTCCTCCTTTATCAGTAAACGATACTTAATGTCAAGCAAGAGGACACTCTCATATCTCTTGTAATTATACTTAAAATGGTGAATATGAAAGATTTGACCTCTTACCCAAAGATGAAAGGGGTAAGTACAGGGAACAAGGACGGTGTGTTAAAAAAAAAAAAAAAAAACCCACAAGTCTGCTAAATGTATTTCCTGAATGCTCCTCTTCCCAGCTCCTAAACAATCACAAAATCACTTCATTAAGTTACTTCTACAAATGCTATCTCCTCTCCTAGATAGCAAGCTGCCTTAGGGCAGAACCTTTTGTAATAGCATAGTTGCAAATGGAGTGTGATGTTAATGTTCTAACCCAAACCAGTAGCCAACTGATAGCTCTGGATTCAAGAAGGTGGTAGTATTTACCTCCCACTGTCTTCAAGAAGGTGGTAGTATTTACCTCCCACTGTCTCCAAGAATGAAACATTTCAAGGGAGGAATCTGACCAAGACTAGCAATGGTAACAACTACACTCATAAACAGGATCTAGGCCAATGACAGGATGGATTATTAAAATACCTGACAGGGGCGCCTGGGTGGCTCAGTCGTTAAGCGTCTGCCTTCGGCTCAGGTCATGATCCCGGGGTCCTGGGATCGAGCCCTACATCGGGCTCCCTGCTCTGCGGGAAGCCTGCTTCTCCCTCTCCC